AGTCTTTGCAAACCCTGAGACATCCTCACCAACACCTGATATATTTTGCAATGACTCTGAAGATGAAGACAATGTTCAAGTACCTGAAGATATTCTGATAAAAAATTATTTACAGCAAGTGGACAAGATGAGAGCTGAAGACTATGATGTGCAGACTCCTGCAGCCGAGCCTAGATGGTGGAAGGTGAGTGAAACTTTGGACCTTTCAAACTTTTTCATTCTTGCTTTGATATACCTACTGACTCAACATTGATTAATATGCATACTTAGACTTGTGCAAAAGACTATAGGATCTTGGCCATCATGGCAAGGGACTACCTTGCCTCATACAGATCCTCATGAGCTTCCAAGTGTACATTTTCCTGTGCCTTGGATGTTTGCTCCTGCAGCCACGGTTCCCTAATTGCTTGAACCATGGAACACCTTGTGTCCAGTAGGTTATGACTGAGAGAGGGTGTAGAGATGAGTAAAAAATATGTGCAGCTCACATGGGTTTTGAAGTTATTGTGTATTGTAATGAATTGACAGAATTTGTATTACATTTGATTCTCATTATATTACAATTTGTTATCTTTTCTCTCTAATACTATCTTTAATGCTATAATAGATTTATCTGCCCTTGTGTTGTGGTGTAGCATTGCTGTTGCGGATTGCAGCATCAGTGTTGCAACATTGCTGTAGCGCTTCTGGTTTGGAGCACAGTTACAATAGGCCTGGAATTTGCCTTTTTTGCATTTGCCACACTATTAGAAGCAACAAGCAACATCACATCACCTGGAGCAACACAACATTGCTTAACACCACAGAGAAGCACAGCATTGCTTACCCAGTATTCTGTGAAGCACTAGATTTTCTGCATATGACTGTGTACTTGTGGTGATTACATCTTGGCATCTCCATGTAGCTTTCTGCAAGGGAATAGCTAGTTTGAGACAAGAAAGGAACCTTTCAAATTTGCAAAATCAATTGACCCTCCCTGAAGTTGAAAGCACAACAAGTCAAAGACTGTTTTGATCATGAATGAGCTATCTTATCAGAGCTTTTCTTTCATAAAATACATAGCTTGATATTTAGCAGAATCACACATTCAATACTTTGTCATTTGATTTAGAATAAAAGGTAAACTTTGCACCTCAATTCAAGAATTCCATCAACATCATTTCTCCAGTTTTGTCCTCTGAAATTATCTTATCTTTGAGAACGTGATCAGTCATCTTGACAGAAATTATCAGTTACATATGATAGCTCTTTAAGGAAAGCATTTCTTTATCCAGTTTACAGTCTTGATGGGCACATTCAAAACAGAATGATGTTCTACTAAAGGATTTTCCAGATCACTCAAAAGTGCATATGACAAAGAAATCGATCCAAGAGCCAAATAATTATGATACACATCTATAAGATTTCAATATATCATCATGGTGCTCAGTATGCACCTCAAGAATTACCCAAAAAAATCTGATGACTCACCAGGATGATCTTCTGGAAATCGGGCAATCCCTCCCCATTGTTTAGACTGACAAAGCATTAAGAACTTAATGTTTGCTTCAGGATCATGAAGTAATGGTCCTGGAATAGAGTTGATATCTTTTAAAGAATGATGTTCTTGAATGATCTATAGCAAAAATTCAAGTCATCTGTCAAAATATGTTTCTTTTCCTTTTTTCTAAAACAACTGATCACTTACACTTAGAGCAGCGGTACACCAGAATGAATAACATGCATCGAGTATTTTACCTGGTCTTCCTTGAAAGCCTGCAACCAGAGGCTGAATTTGAGTCAAGGAGGATACACCAGAAGGTTCAGATGCCTTGACAGGTTCGGTCTTAAGATTTGATGAATTGATTTCATCTTGCCGTGTATTTGATTCTTCATCGCTTTCTTCATCAGGTAAATCATGAAATTCATTTTGTCGATGTACTAACCATCTAGCCGTTTCTAAAGCGTCTTCAGATGAAAGGCTATCATCAAGTTTGTTTAACAATTTAAGAGCTGCTAAGACACAATAGGTTGTTCCACCTTGAGATTCTAAAAAAGGCGCTTGACCATATCCACCATCGTAGCGCTGATTTTCAAAAATACAAGATTGGAAATCAGTGATGAGGTTACAAAAGAAATTGATCCGATTGGGAAACTTGCCCTACAAGACGATAAGAAATCTACAGTTGATTGAACATCGATCACCGTTTTAGGATCAATATTCAAGATCTCAAGAATTGCAGTAGCGCAATAAACAAATCTAACATCTTGTTCTGTAGAAGTAGGAAATGGACCAAAACTAAACAATCGGAATCCAGTTTAAGCTTATCTAATTGAAATGAACGTTCAACACAAATGTCAGCTTACGAACCTTCCGTTTGGTCGTTGGCAATCAACGACGAATTTCAAGAGTTTAGGAACGTCCAAGGCGGTGTAAGGATTAGTAGGCTTGGGGTTATCTGACTGAGGTGTAGAGAGTAAAGCAAGTAATAGAAGAGCTGCATAAGTGTGGGTGATATGAGGTTGGTTCAAAGATTCCTCTGGATTACTATGCTATAGGAATCAAGAAAAGGAGGCAATTTTAGTCCAAATCCATCAGAAAGTTAACCAAGATAAAGGCGACATACGATTCTTAAATCTACATTAGGATGACCGGTAAATCCACCTGAATCGGAATCCCATCTTTCATAAATCCAATGAAGATAATCATCTTTTTCTTCTTGATTTAATCGATCGATCGATCCAAGTAAAGATAATGAACCAATCGAAAAGAAACCAAACGTAAGTCGATTATTATCATCAGATTCATATGGTGAAGGTAATAATCTAAGACATCTTAAAGAATATCGAATATGTGCTTTGATTAAGAAGTGGAAGTCGTCAGTTGTGTTCGAGGTCTCCATATCTTGTGCAGAGTCGAATACAAGTCAACGCGTGACAGTCAACAAATCAAATTACATTCTCATCCCTCAACATGAACAACCACCCGGTGAACTTGGCGAGAAGCACCTGAAGTATGCTGGTCTGCCTATCTCGTGCTTGCCTTCCACTCACAGTATAGCTATCTGTTTGTATGACAATGTTGAATATCTCATAACAGCACATACTTAGTCAGTCAGACGACTGTAATATCTTATAAATGACACTTTGCAAACACGCATCAATATATTACAACATGCAATTAGCTCACCTTATATCAAATCAGAAAATGTTACATCCTTAAGCAATGATGAGAAAAATAAAAAAAACAATATTACAACTTTCTTCACAATCAAAATTAAAAAAACTCTTCGACACATTTAAAGTGGTATCATCCTAAGATATATATTGGTGTGTGTGTATGTGAATCTAACAGCACACAAAAATGTAAAAACGAAAATATAAACAATTCTGAAGATGCATATGAACGGGTTTAAAAAAAACTTGGATATCTGGAGGTAAAATAAGAGAAGGATATTAAATCATTCAAAGTATTATGTCTTGGCTTTCTTGGCTGTATTATGATCGTGTTGGGCCATAGTTCTTTGACAACTGTCATTAGGGAGTGGATAGGCGGTAGTATGAGGATATTGTTGCTGTGGTCGAGGTGCAGATTTAGATGTTGGAGCATTTGTGGTAACTTGGTTTCCAGTTGTGTTCATGGACCTGCCAAGTTGGAGATCCGCCCTCATGGAAGGCGCTTGATGGGAACTGTAAAGTTACACACCAAATTAGTCGCGGAGCACTAGTTAGTTCCTTTTACAAGATACAACTCACATGACAGCGGGACTCTCACGTGTACGGTCTAGGGGCCTTTTCAGGCCTCGGATATCATTCAAAGGTTGATTTTCTACCCCATGATTGCCAAAGGATCTTCGCGAATTGACGTTGGTGGCGAGAGTACTCGCCGCGGAGCCACGTAAACCGGGTAGTTGTCCAGCTTGCAGTACTGGGACTACTCCTTTAGAAGGCCCTTCGGCAAATGGTTTTTGATAATTAGTGGTCGCTGCTCGAGGCGGCATGGGCTTACTTGCCTGGTATGGTCTAGTCAAAGATCGGTCAAGAATATTATGTGATGGGGTATTGATAGTGGTGGGTCGATTGCGGACACCATCAAGCTTTGATGAGAGTGCTTGACCATCGAATGATCGGCGAATTTGCAATTGGGGAGCTTGAGGTGCAGTGTCTTCTTGAATCGCAGTGTGGATGATACTTGGTTCAGTAGTCAGACTGTTGTCATCTACGGTCATTTCATTAAGATCTTGATCATGAATCATCGATTGCTCGTTCGCATCCAACTGGGCGAGTTCGCTTTCGTCAAAATCAAGGAGGTGATCAGATGGAGTTGAACAGTAATCCGAGGGTATCTGATCTAAGACTGTTCTTGTGTTTGTAGTAGATAGTTCGGTCACGCGCTCTGGTGGTGGACACAATTTTCGAGGTGGTGGTGGGAAAGTATCAACGCGCTTGTGATTGGGTTCAGACTTGACAGGTGGAGGTGGCATGCATTGTCTGAGATTGCTGACGCTAGGCTTTTGATTCACTTGCTGCGCTACTGGGGCAGGATCTGGAGTAACGTTGGAAGATTTCCCCTGGAGATCGCTTGTGTTGGGTTTAGATTCGCTTGCGTTGGGTTTAGATTCGCTTGAAGACTTCTTGCTGGCATACTCCGGTCGGTGTAGCTTTGAAGGAAGGAATTTTTCCTGATCGGTGGTGAGGGATCGACAGCGTGTTAGTCAGAGGTTTACATCACATCATGAGTAGGATATCTCTCGAGATAAAAGAGCACTGTTACCTTCTGAGCTTGCATATTCTTGATGTTCCCCAAAAAATTCTTATCGTAGAGACAGTTCCCGAGTAGATTTCCGAACGCGCGCATCGAACGCTTAAGAGCATCAGTGACAGCCTCTTTTTTACACTACGCAATCCAATGCCCTCAGCGTCAATAAAGACAATGGAGTAGAATCATAAGAAGAATTTCGGATCAAGACAGTCGAAGCTTACCTTTTCGAGTGCATCTCCCTTGGTTGGACAGTTTTCTATCTTGCCATAACCCACATCCTCGTGACTACTACCGTCTTTGAGCCTGATTCGTACGATCGCGCTGACTCCGACACTGTACTTCCCATCCGCATTCTGATCAACATAATCCACATCTATCGTCTTAGTTTCGGTACTCCAACCATTGAAGCCAAAGATCTCATTGGCCAATTCGATGACTTTCCAACCTTCGATATAAATGAATTTCGAGCCACCTGCTCCGGGTCTAGAGGATAAATATTCGGGACCAGGACGTTTGGCCAAAAGACTTTGAATGTACTGAACATGAGCAATATCTTCATCAGATGGTGGAGAAGGGGCTTGAGGACAATTGTTCGGATTCGGTTGAGCAAACGCGTGTGAGAGGTTGAAGGAAGCAAAGGACTGATCGCTCTTCGGCCTAGAATCGTCGGCCATATCAAATGAGATTTAACAGGGATATTAGACTGATTGACTTGGTTGTTTGAGAATTGTATGTTGAAGTTGAGAATGATGAGTTGATGGTATGAATGAATCTGATGAAGTGTTGAATTCTTTGTAGCAGGGCTACTTATTGTTAGTCTGTATTAGAATATCTTGTTACACGTTTCATATACATATGTCTGTATTACCACTTGTACTCGCCACATAAGCCTACTCTTAAATGGCTCATACAACCTTATTGTAATACCGGCTATAGCATAACCGGCCTTCTGCCTTTATCGCCATCTATTGTATTTCTCTTATAAGGAACACTTCGAGTCCTTCTCTTGTATTCCTTAGTCATCTAGTTATCTCCTTTCTTTCATCCTCTTCTGGATAGCAATACATCTTAATATCAATCCTTCTCGATAAACCCCTTATAATCCTTATAAGTCCCTTAATCGACCCAATTCATTAAGATAGCCAAGTCATTCACTTAACCCATACCAGGTTTCAGACTTCCATTCCCCATCCGGAATATCATAACGTAAGCCCCTAATAAGGTGCCCGTTACATTGGTAGCGAGATCTATTCTTTTTACGACGAAAGCTGATAGTCATCATTTCGTATTTCCTTCGCTATTGATTCTATCTCGTGTCTATTCTGTTATTTATTCCATAACGTCATAGTCGTTCGACTCTTTCTGGGACCAATAATCTTTCGAGACCAGAGCGCGGAGATAGTTCATTCTCAGCAAAGCTAATTGATCATTGTCAGCTACCTGTCTTGCTTTTGAAGAATATTAATAGTCTTAAATCCATCATTGAGTGAAAGTGATACTGACCTGAAATTTTTTCGGACTCCTTTTCGTTTTTTTTGCATTAACAGTAACAATGCCTCTTCAGCGAAGTCCTACCAGAAAGGCAGGAGATCCGATTGCCCCTGCGGCCACGGACTCAGCAGTGACTGGATCAACCAATCCAGCAGCAGCACCAGGATCGACTGATACTGGTACAGCTCGTCGCCTAACCGAGCGCGAACGAGAGATTCTAGTCAGCCATCTGCCAGCCTCGGCTACGAGTTCTCAACAACTTACGGCGGAACAGATGGATGCCTTAACGGTGGATCAGCGACTCGTTGTTAATGTTCTGGCGAGCGACTACAACGAAATACCTGTCGTGATCCCCGCCGCCGTTTACAACTTCATCACGAAGGGATTAAACGAAGATCTCCTTGACTACGTAGAGAACGACTTCCCTGAGAAGAACGAACCCATCGGAGTCGAAGGAAAGTTGCCAGAGAATGTTGGATTCCGTCAACATTGTAAGCGCGTCTCCAACATAATCTCCTCAGACACATCTTCAGCGACCAGCAACGACGACCTAGACATCAGAAAACTGAAGCCATCTCCGTCGTTCTTAGAGTCTCTGGATGCCAAGCCGGCCATCGACCCGTTAGTCGGCCTTAACCTCAAAGCTCATGAGGTAGCGGCTTTTCGGGAATTCCAGGCTATGAAAGCTAACCCGGATACGCTCGAGGCGAAGATTAGCGACCTCCACCTTCGCGGATCTCGCGATGGTACCCCTGTCCTCGAAACTCGTGCTAGGACGACTTCCGTTCAACCCACGCTTCTTCGAGTCCACGACAATTCCTCCGTCGCCAAGGTAGTAGCGGTCGAGCCGACTGGCGTCAGACCTGCTGAAAGACTAGTCGTGGACCCGAGCCTTATCATCAAAGGCCTCGGTCGAGACAAAATCCCCAAGTTCTCCGGTATTAATCAAGATGTCACGACTTACTTCGATAATTTTCGAGTCGAACTCGAGATGAGATTCTGTCATCCCGATGTCCAGCATCAAGTCGCCTTCCAATGGGTCGCCGGAGCCGCCAAAGAAATATTGGTGAAGGCAGTAAGGGACAACAATCGACCCGTTTCTTACGACGCTTTGACTGCATTTTTTATGAATGCCTTCCCAGCCACAGTCGACCTCGACACTGTTGATCAAGAGCTCGACGCACTGAGACAGCATGGGGGCGAAACCGTCATCGCCTACTGGACACGTCATCAACTCGTGACCCAGAAGGCAGATATTCTGGAACTCCCTTACGATCCAGTTCTCACCTTCAAGAAGCGCCTCGTTCCAGGCCCAGTCAAGGAGCATGTTGAAAACTACATCTCCATGAAGAAGTTGGACGGTATCACCCCTCAGATCAAGGACGTGGTTGCCGTCGCCATCGAGCGCGACCAACGCCCCGATATCAAGCACTATACTAACGCCAACCGTCAAGTTAGTGCTATAGTATCTACTTCCCATCACCAGAACGGCAATCGAAAGCGACAACGTTCTAGGATGGAAAGCTCCAACGGTCGAACCTCCACCATCGAGCCTATCTGTTACAATTGTAATCAGAAGGGTCACCGTTTCGGTTCCATCGATCGTCCCACTTGCGGAGCACCCATTACCAACAAGACGCGAAATTATTTCAAGAGAAACTCGAAGAAGTCTAAGGGTGAGCCGGAGAATGCGGTAGCTAGTGGTAGTGGGTCATCAAAAGGCCCGGCGAACTAGATGTAGCTCCCTCTTTTTCGCCTAATCTGTTATCTTGTCCAGTTGTCAGCGATGTAGTATGTAATGCATTTGTCTTGACCCAGACTAAACAAGAGGAGCCTAAAAATTCGTTCTCGAGGGATGAGCCCTCGGGATCAGACAGAGAATCTGTCGTCCTTTCAGCCAGTAAGCTAGCTGATAATTCCGTCCCACTTAGAGGGGATCCTGAATATTCTGACATGGGCAGATATTCGAAGATGAGTACCGACAGCGAGTCTGTCTCCATTTCAACAGAACACTTGATGGAAGATCCTTTAGCAGTTGAAAAGGATATTGAGAGGACTTTCCACGAGAGAGAAAGTCCCTCCTCCTCGACGCAACAGTCTCAGGAATTTGCGTTGGGTAGAGAAATACCAATCAGTATTTCTATCTCTGAGGTTACAGAGAACCACAGCCAAACTATTGTGGAAGACAATGCATCCTCGCCGGCCAGCGAGCCCAGAGTCCCCACAACGGGGTATATCGACCTTGATTCAGTCGATAGCCTAGCTGTGTTAGAGAACAACACGAGTGAGACCCGTGCTGACTTCATCCTCACATTGAATGGAGTCATAACAAAGATACTCATTGATACAGGTGCATCAATGAGTTACGTGTCGGATACTTACGCACGTAAAAGAAACTTCCTTACGAGTAAAAACTCAGATCGTCCCATAGTGAGGGGCGTGTGGGGACAGCCTTACGAATGTAAGGACATAGCTGAGGTGAAATTCTCCCTTTCCGGATTGAATTACTCTCACAGTTGCCGAGTAGCCCCTTTGACTAACCACGATGTGATCTTAGGACTCGACTGGATTACAGCATACGCAGTATCCACAGATTGGGCAAAGGGTGAGTGGACTTTGAGAGATAAAAAGGCCAGACGAGCCAAATTTTACCCCTCAAGGATCCCTCTCCCATCTCTCAAACACCACACTATAAGTGGCTTGAGCGATATTCCCATAGATGAACTCCCCTGTACCAGAAGTCAGATGCGTCGTGCGATGCGACGTCCCGGTACAGAAGTGTATTTATTGCAAATGAGTGAAGCCTTGAGCCCCGTCGACGAAGTTGACGGACCTCGAGAAGCTCCAGCTCCTTGTTTACCAAGGATCGAGGCATCAGACCCTCGGACTAAGCTACGTGTCGAGAACCTTCTCGACGAGTACAAAAACCTCTTCGATGAGGTATCTCAAGCCCCGAAGCAGGAAAGGGTAATACAACATCTCATAGACACAGGAGATGCTCCCCCTGTTTCACAACCGGTACGTCGTTTATCGCCTTTACTCCTCGACGAGTTAAGAAACAAACTCGATGTGCTGCAGAAGAACGGTTTTATACGTCCTTCGACATCTCCTTGGTCCTCGCCGATCCTTTTCGCTAGAAACGCGTCAGGTAAGCTGAGATTTTGTATTGACTATCGAGCAGTCAATGCACTTACCAAGCGGGACCGCCACCCACTCCCGTTGATCCAAGACTGCTTTGATCAATTGCATGGAGCCCGGGTATTCTCGAAATTCGATTTGCAACAAGGCTTTCACCAGATGAAAGTTTCCTCGTCGCATGTCCCCAAGACAGCTTTCAGCACCCGGTACGGTCACTACGAGTGGCTCGTGATGCCTTTTGGGTTGGTGAACGCGCCCTCTACCTTTCAGAGGATGATGTCGGATATCCTGCGACCATTTTTGGACAAATTCGTCCAGGTCTACATGGATGACATCCTGGTTTATTCCAGCAGTCCTGAGGAACATGAGAAGCATGTTCGTCAGGTTCTTCAGGCTTTGGAGAACGCTGAACTCAAGGTTAGCGGCTCCAAGTCACTATTATTTGCCGACGAAATTCAATTCGTCGGGCATATGATATCCGCCAATGGGATTCGTCCCATGGAAGATAAGATCAAAGCCATTCAAGAATGGCCGCGACCTTCAAACGTCCACGATGTAAGATCCTTTTTGGGATTGTCAGGCTATTATCGACGATTCATTAAAGATTTTTCGAAAATAGCATCGCCTCTTCATGAACTTACCTCCGGTAATGTGACCAAGAAGGCGAAGATTGAGTGGCAACCTAAGCATGAAGCGGCATTCATTAAGTTGAAAAGCAGTATGCTAACTGCACCCGTGCTTATAGTGCCGGATCCCCCCAAGCCGTACATCATCGAAACAGATTCGAGTGATTTCGCGGTGGGCGCTGTCCTGCTACAAGTAGGACCTGATGGGAAAGAACATCCCATAGCCTACGAGTCTGCCAAATTGAATCAGGCGCAGCAGAATTATCCTGCGCAAGAAAAAGAGCTCTTGGCCATGATTCATGCATGGCGCAAGTGGCGCAACTACGTAGAAGGAGCTGTGGCAGATACCTTAGTACGGTCTGACCACCTTAGTCTCACTGGTCTGCAAACGCAGGTCCAGCCATCCAGACGGCTTAGTCGATGGATTGAAGAGTTCGCCGAGATGACCATTAAGGTCGAATACAAAACTGGCGTTACTAACATAGTACCAGATGCGCTAAGTCGCCGAAGTGACCTCTTGCAAAGTATCTTCGACGACGTGACCGGCCTACGGGATCCCTCGGATTGGCCGCTCCTGGTGCCTTACGTCCTTGGGCAAAAGGAATTGCCAGAGTGGGTTGACGCCGCTCTGGTGGACCAAGTTGTTCGAGGATCCCTGGGATTCATTTGGAAACCCAAGGAAGAAGTCCTTTATTGGAAAGGCACGAAAGATAACCCTGAAGAGAGCCCTTTCGTACCTTTTTCGCAAAGGATAGCTCTTATTGACCGATTTCATAAGAAATATGGCCATCGCGGCCGTGACGGAACTCTGAGTCTGTTGAAAGACAGAGGTTGGTGGCCGGGTAGGTACTCTGATGTCAAAGAGTACTGCTCGTACTGTCCACAATGCCAAATCTTTGACGTACCCGACAAGGGGCAGGAAACGGCCAAACAAGAGCCCTTGCCGTCTGTCGAGCCATTCGAAAGATGGGCCGTAGACTTTATCTCTCTTCCAGAGAGCAAAGATGGTTTCAAATGGATTCTTACGATGATAGATCATTGTACTAACTGGCCCATTGCCATTCCAATGAAACTAGCAACGTCCGCGAACGTAGCAGAAGCGCTCACTCGTGAACTTATCCAAGTTTATGGAGTTCCAAGTGAGATATTATCTGATAGAGGCGCAAACTTTCTGTCGAAAGAAATGCAGGCCTTCTATCAGGGAGCACACATCCGGAAGTTGAACACTTCTGGATATCATCCGCGTACGAACGGGAAAAATGAACGCTTTAACGGCGTCTTGGAGAAAGCGCTATTCAAAGCTAACCGCACGAATGACCCGTCGAGGTGGCCTGAATATCTTCCTGAGGCATTATTCGCTTGTCGAATAAATAAGAGTACGGTAACCAAATGGTCACCGTTCGAGCTCCTTTACGGAGTAAGTCCTCGCCTCATCGGAGACAGGGCCAAGTTCAGACCGGTGGATATACCCACATCTGAAAGTGGCAACGATGCTCGCTTGGAGAAACTTCGTGCCGCCAGGTCCGAAGCCACCGAAGCGTCAAAGAAAAGATCCACCGAGAACAAAGCTCGGTTTGATTCGCAGTTCGTTCCCGACGAAAACGGTAAATCTCGTTCTGTTATTAAAACGTACGAGATAGGTGATTCAGTGAAATTAAGAAATGAGTCGCATACCAAAGGTGAGCCTTATTGGTATGGACCTTTTACAGTATACGATTCCTTGGGAAAGAATGTGTACACACTGTCAGACCATACAGGGTCTAAATTTCCTCACCCTATTGGAGGAAATAGGTTAAAACCAGCAAAGATTAAGGATAAATCTTTGGGAGAAGTTTGGGCATTGCCTCCTCGACTACTTCAAGATATCAAGAATGAAGATCTCAAAGTTTCTAGGACGTTAAAACTCAAAGCCAAACAACTCGCCAACACCCAAATTAAAATTACGCCAAGAATCAAGATTGTTGGGAAATTCGCAACTGACGCTGCAGCCTAGGGATGCTGCAACATTTTAAAAAGGGGGTGGTGTAGCAGGGCTACTTATTGTTAGTCTGTATTAGAATATCTTGTTACACGTTTCATATACATATGTCTGTATTACCACTTGTACTCGCCACATAAGCCTACTCTTAAATGGCTCATACAACCTTATTGTAATACCGGCTATAGCATAACCGGCCTTCTGCCTTTATCGCCATCTATTGTATTTCTCTTATAAGGAACACTTCGAGTCCTTCTCTTGTATTCCTTAGTCATCTAGTTATCTCCTTTCTTTCATCCTCTTCTGGATAGCAATACATCTTAATATCAATCCTTCTCGATAAACCCCTTATAATCCTTATAAGTCCCTTAATCGACCCAATTCATTAAGATAGCCAAGTCATTCACTTAACCCATACCAGGTTTCAGACTTCCATTCCCCATCCGGAATATCATAACGTAAGCCCCTAATAAGGTGCCCGTTACATCTTGTTGACCAAAGTTCATGAAGTACTGTGAATGCGTTGGCTCAGAATCTTTCCAGCCTCGCTGTGAATGAGGTCATGTCGGATCTTAAAATGACCCCGAGCTACGGTACCGGGAGAGACAAGGGTTAAGTTTCACGTGACTTGAATTGAAGATTGATGAGCCATCTCTTTAATGATCAGACGCGTCCAAGCTCAAAGGTTCTCAATTTAACGATACCAACTTACCCTCAATCTGACTGGAAAGAATATCGACAATATCAAGAACATGTCCCTTCATATCAAATCAACAACTCAAAAAGACTTTCATGCTGTGTCAGCTTTCTTCCATAAAAGTGTTGATTTAGAAATCAAGATCCGTTTCATTTACTAACCTTGATGTCTCTTCATCCAGCTTAACCAAACCATTCACTCCGGTCCGACCTCTCGTTCAAACCTCTGATACTTCGGTTGCCGGGCGAAAGCGAAAAAGGGTAGACTACAGTGGAGCGGATGGAAGTATCGAAACGGAGAATCGAGATCCTAAAGGGAAGGGCAAGAAGAAAGAAGATGAAATGGAAGAGGACGATGACGGGAATATGGTCAAGAAAGTCAAACGTGACCGATTTGGAAGACCGATTAAAGAAGTGTCTTTCACACCAGTGAAGGTGAACATCTTCGATTCCTTCCATATCTAGTCAGCATAACCTGGGTTCCATTACACTGACTTGAATACCAAAATGGTTGCCTCAATAGAAATACGACAAGGTGGTTGTGACGCCTCTCACAGCACAACCTAAATTATTTGCAATTCCAAAGATGGTGGATACCAAAACAGGTGCAACTATCGAAGTAAGGCTAAGTAACACTCCTTTGGGTGTTCGACCGCCACCTATCTTCGCACCTAGACCATTACATGATCCATTGGCCGACACCGCAATTGTACTTTGGGATCCAACTGTAGATGATAAACCAGCGCCTGAACCTATCAAGGAAACGATTTCTGGTACTACACCTGAGGAAGTTGAACAAGAATTGGCTCGATTGAAATTTGAAGAAGAACAACGTAAAGGTCCTCATAAAAGTTTGGCTGCTTTATTAGGAATTGCACAAAAGGGAGAGACAAAACCGATCAAAAAAGTTCCGGTTGTTCTCGATCCACGTTTGACTAAGACTCTACGACCTCATCAAGTTGAAGGTGTCAAATTCTTGTATCGGTGTACCACTGGAATGGTAGAGAAAGGTGTACATGGGTGTATAATGGCTGACGAGTGAGTGTCCCATCTGTCTGTCCAGATGTTTTCATTCAGTAAGGACCCAAGAGTTGATGTGTCTTAATCTTGTCTCAGGATGGGATTGGGGAAGACTCTACAATGCATCACCCTGCTCTGGACATTACTGAAGCAATCACCTATACCCGGTAAACCAGCCATCAACAAAGCCATCGTTGCTTGTCCCTCTTCGCTAGTCAAGAATTGGGCAAATGAATTAGATAAATGGCTTGGAGCCGGTGCTCTAGTTCCACTTGCAGTTGATGGGAAACAATCCAAAGCTGATCTATTGAAGAGCGTACGCCAGTGGGTTTTGGCTGATGGTCGAAGAGTCTCACAGCCTGTGATGATTGTTTCATATGAGACATTACGAGGCTCTTTGGTTGAAGAATTAGGAACTGCACCTATTGGTCTATTACTTTGTGATGAAGGACATCGCTTGAAGAATGCAGGTGTGAGATACCTGCTTGTCACACATCATCTTCTGACTGCTACTGATCACTTGCTGTTATCTTCTTCGTAGAGAATCAAACCTATGCAGCTCTCAACAGCATCAAATGCGAAAAAAGAGTGATCTTGACAGGAACGCCGATTCAGAATGATCTTTCTGAATACTTTGCTCTTTTAAACTTTGCAAATCCGAATTACTTGGGTGATAGAGCACAATTTCGTAAAAATTACGAATTGCCGATTCTTCGAGGCAGAGATTCAGATTCGAGTCAATCTGAGGTTACATTGGCTGAAACCAAATTGAAGGAGCTAACTACAAAAGTTCAAAAGTTTATCATTCGTCGTACAAATGACCTGCTTTCCAAATATCGTACGTCATCGTACATCTTGACTCAAATTTTACAAGTTCGATCTTTCTAATTCCCACGATCGACATCTTTGGATACACTTACAGTACCTGTCAAATATGAGCATGTGGTGTTTTGTGCTCCTTCCACTTTTCAACGGGATCTGTATCGTCACTTTATCAACTCTCCTGACTTGAAAAAGTTATTGAGAGGAGTCGGATGTCAACCCTTGAAGATGCTTGGGATCCTACGTAAACTTTGCAACCATCCGGATCTTTTGGATTTGCATCAAGATATCCCTGGATCTGAGAAATGTTTTCCCGAAGGCTATACTTCTAAAGATAGTAGAGCGCCAGCTAGACCTGAGCTATCGGGAAAAATGGTGGTTCTTGAAAGGTTGGTCGCTCGCTTCGATTTCACTCAGTTGACTCAAGCTGGAGTCACATCTGATACTGACCTCGCGTTGGATCGATAGATTTCTACACAGGATTCGTACTCAAACTACAGATAAGATTGTATTAATCAGTAACTTTACTCAGACATTAGATGTGATGGAAAAGATGTGTCGTGAGCGACGTTGGGGATGTTTGAGATTGGATGGAACGATGCAAATCACTAAACGACAAAAATTAGTAGATCGGTTTAATAATCCAGAAGGAAAAGAATTTATTTTTTTACTTAGTAGTAAAGCAGGTGGATGTGGTATTAATTTGATTGGTGCTAATCGATTGATCTTATTTGATCCGGATTGGAATCCTGCTTCTGATCAACAAGCTTTGGCTAGGGTTTGGAGAGATGGACAAAAGAAGGAATGTTTTGTGTATCGATTTATATTGGTAAGTCTCTTTGTTTAAATCAGTTTCAAGATCACGAGAATAAGAATGTTTTTTTGAATTGATGTGACGATTTGTTTGATTTGATATCTTGTAGACGGGAAGTGTTGAAGAGAAAGTTTTCCAACGTCAATCACAAAAGATGAAACTTTCAGCTTCTGTTGTCGATGAACAAGAGGATGATGCACGTATGTTCTCAAAAGATATGCTCAGAGAACTATTCACATTGAACGAGGGCACCGCTTCTGATACTCATGACGTATACAAGTATGTGACTATCGTTTATGGATGTTTCATAAAAGATTCATCACACCCAATCTGATCATTTAACTTGTGGATTTATCTCAGGTGTAAGCGTTGTAAAGATGGCAAACAATTTATCAAAGCACCTGTGATGCTCTATGGGGATCAATCAACGTAAGCTTTGCTATAATCATCGAGCTTTGAAAATCTTTTGATAATACTCATCCTTTTGATTTCTGATGGGGGATATCTTTCAGGTGGAATCATTATGCTAACCCAGAAATGGTCAATTTACATGATGATCTTTTGAGAGCAGAAGTTGGACAAGCAGAAGTCACAGCATGTTTTCAATACGTTTCAACTTAAAGAGCTATACTAACCAAATCAAATGAAGATATATGTTTTTATAGCTATGGGGGTTTAAATCAATTTCGATCAAGCTTTTTTTCGTCTGTTTGTTTTCCTCTGTGCTTGTTCACTTATCGTTGTTGTTGTTGTAATCTCGGAATGGACTTTTGAGGTATTAGTAATGTATTGCATATAGTGATGAAATAACATGAACAATTTGTAGCCTCGGATAGACCTTCATGGGTAGAGGATAAGTCGAGCGTGTTTTAAGAACAAGATGGAATTGATTTGTGAATCTATGATTCCTTGAAATGCTAGTGTGTTTTGATGGCTATTGGATGTGGCTAGATTGATTTTTGACAGGTGAAGGTTTACTTGCTGCCTCAATATGTTGATGGCGTTGTGCATAGGAATGTTTCTTTGTAGAGTGAGAGCTTCTGTTTGATCGGATTCGTGAAGCTAGAAAGACTCAGTGAAGTTAACCCTAACCCAATTAAGGTTTCTGACTTGTGCTTGAACTAACCAAATTTGCCAAAGAAAGAAAGAAACAAACTCACAACCTGAACCATTCAATATCATCGAATTGAGAAATACTCAAACACTTATTATCAAGTAATCATATCTTATCATCACTCACATATCAAGAACCATTCAAACGATCGATCCAATCTTGAAAAAAACGCGAAATTCGAATCACATTCGTTCCATCAATTCAATAGAACCTCATCAATTTCTTAATCCGATCAGTCAATCAAGATGCGGTACTATCGACCAAAGTAAATCACATCCCCCTTTCTTGAAATCGCGAAAAGACTCAGAAGGATAAATAAAATCATTTAATTTATGATCGTGATATTGAATTTGTGGTTTTACTTTACTTTCGATAGGTTTCCTGAACCTGATGAATTAGTCATGGTACAAGTTAAACAAATTCAAGATATGGGAGCATATGTGAAACTAGTATGTTGAAATTTCTTATCATTCCTTCGATCATCATTACTAATAGAAAGTGATGTGTCTTTAGTTAGAGTATGATAATATAGAAGGCATGATTCTTTTATCTGAACTTTCTAGACGTCGGATTAGATCGATTCAAAAATTAATTAGAGTTGGAAGGAATGAAGTAGTGGTAGTGATGAGAGTAGATAAAGAAAAGGGTAAGTCTTTTTGAATTTTCGATACCAAAAAAAAAAAAAGCTTGCAACTTATTCATTGAGAGTTTGTTTCTTTTGGATAGGGTATATCGATTTATCAAAACGTCGAGTATCAGCTGAAGATGTAGTAAAATGTGAAGAACGATACAATAAGTCAAAGACGTGAGCTGTGAATTTTTCTTATGGACCATCAAAACTCAATCAATCTGAAGTATGCTCCTACATTCAGTGTGTCATCAATTGTTCGACATGTAGCCGAAAAGACAGAATTGGACGTAGAAGCTGTCAATGAGATGGTAGCCTGGCCCCTCTTCGAAAAATACGGACATGCCTTTGATGCCTTCAAACTGAGTATCACGTATGTCCACTTGTTGATGTGATGATGACTACTTGCTTTACCTCAACTAACATTCAAGTCATTCATCTCCAAAAACTTTAGAGAGCCTGAAACCGTTTTCGGAGAACTGAACATACCCGAACACATCATGACTCATCTGACCTCTAACATAGCCCGAAGACTAACCCCTCAACCCGTCAAAGTTCGTGCAGATTTAGAGGCCACTTGTTTTGCATATTCAGGTATAGATGCGATCAGGAATGCATTGAAGTTAGGAGAATCAATGGGAACTGAAACGGTACCGATCAAGATCAGATTAGTTGCACCACCGCTTTATGTGATGGTGAGTAATGCGACTGATAAACAAGGTGCGATCGAATTACTTGAATCAGCTATTGTTAGTATTGGTGAAAGTTTAAAGGAAAATGGTGGTGAATTAGTGGTGAAGATGAAAGTAGGTTGACCCTTCCGTTTGGTTTCCTTGATACCTTTGATTCTTGGATCTATCTTTCTGATCATTTCTCATGCTGGTCTGTCTTTTCTTGTAGCCAAAAGCAGTTTCAGAAACAGATGACTTGGAACTTGCAGCTCTGATGGAAAGAGTAGCTAGAGAAAATAAAGAAGTTTCGGGTGATGAAGATAGTGATGCAGATTGATGATTGTCAAATCAAATTCACAATACCCTTGACAAAATCAAATTGAAAACAATCATGAGCGTTTAAACACTTTTCCCATAGAAATTTGATTGTCTTTGAAATTGAAAAGAAACAAAAAACTTTGATTGAAGTGATGGTCATTTGTTTCTATTAACAACTAATGATTCGTACCTGGAGATCCATCGTGGAGGAAATTGATAAGCTCAATCGAGTGTTCTGACATGCCATGTAAGAGCATCCACTATCATGATGGTGATTTATCGTAAGTTTTGCGTTCCTGACCGCGAAATTTAATCACGCGTGTTTTACCTAAGTTGGTAACCGCATGAAATCCACTACGGATTGATGTAATGTCTGATTTAACTACACCACGGAGTGGTTTCTGAGCAGAAAAAGCGTCGGTGAGGTCTGCGGATCGTCGGGGTCGTGAAATGGCCGGAGAATCGCCTGAAAGTGGCCTGTAAAAGGCCTGAAACTGGCCTGCAAGAACCGGCTACATACTGGCTGCAGTCCGATTGAGTACCGCCAGGAGTCGGACTGCAGCTGGTGTGCGTTGTAGTTGAGTCGGCCGCATGTCACATGGCTGCCGCTCGACTTGATACCGCCGGCAGGCAAGCATCAGTCAAGCTAAGCTTGACTTGATCCCTGATCCGGAATTTCCCTAACATGGCTTTTAAGGGAACTCGGGACAGCTCGGAGCATTTGTACTTCGGGTCCATTCAAATTGTTTCAAGTCCACTTGTCATCCGGTCATCCTAAATAGTGGATTCATCAATCCCATCACCATCAACCACCATTTCATCATTGATCAACAGCAGGTTCATTTATATCAGAAACAGAACCAAATTCAATCAAATAAATTGATTAACTTCATTCAATTGCTAATCTGCATCAAGATATATTATCATTGCTTTCATTTAATCTAATCATCAAATCAACTTATCAAACTCTTCAGCTTTAGCATCACTCCCGTCGGCTCCCAGTTTTAAACTCATTCAGGATCAATCACTCTTGACAGAATTAGAAACCAGATTGTTATCTCATCATGATTAAGACTCACTACCTTCTTTACCTCCATCAGTCATCTTAGCCAAACTCGATTACTGGTATTTAATCTCTGTGCTCTCAATAAACTTCTCAAAAAACTGACATTGCACCAATCGGTCAGCTCCTGCACTCATCAAACTAAATTACTTTGTTTTTTTCATCAACGACACCGTCCATTCAACCTAAGCCCGATCGAATTAGACTACAGGTGATAAAGCTGATCGAGTAGTACTCTTTGAGAGTAATGAGGTAAGTGTGCTGATTAAATCAAAATTGTATCTGTCTCATTGACCTTCATGGGTAATAATAACCTCAAATTCAATCTTTTCAATCTGAAAATCATAACACTCTTGTTGAAATCTCATTCAATCGACGATAACGATGATGATACATCATAAATTAGTAATCGGCTCTTGGGTGCTTTTAAAAGGGATCGATTGATTCTCATTACATCTAGGAAGACTGGTTCCAATCACTGACTTTGTTCTTTCTTTGAATGATTATAACAAGAACTGGTGGAATTTGATCAGTAGCAGAAATTGATACCATTTCTATGATGTTAGATTCTTTTCTCCAATCTGTTGATATGAAATTGACTACAAATCAAACCCACGAAGAATCAATTGGAAAATTATATCTTAATTAAAAAATACGAAGAATTGATTAGAAAATTATATTTTAAAAACAACTTGTATCTTCTTATTATATACTCATTATTATCACATTTGTATATTCCTGAACAATCCTTTAAGCCATTGATGAATCAATTTTATTTTCATTCTTTGAATTAACTGTTGGCTAGCCGAATATTGAGGCTTGCAGCCGTCTCACTGGACTTTGTTGAGGACTGGTCTTTAATAGGTCCCAGACCGGTGCAGACCGGTGATCAATCCTCTGCATACCATCTTCAGTCGGCCTGCAGGCTGGCTACAGGCGATATTTGAAAGGCCGTCTGCATACGGTGGGACCAGCGCCTACCTGCAGACGGTCCGTGACTATATAAAAAAAGGCCCGTCTGCAGACGGCCTTCGTCCCAGTCTGCAGATGGGCCGGACCACTCCGTGGTGTACACCACGGGGCAATTGTTGAGCCAAAAGCTGAGCTCAAAAGTGGTCGTGTCCAAAAACCGGTCAAACGCTGGCCAAAATCTCAGGTTTTGGTCAGATCTTGACGGTTGGATGAGACCGGCTGTTTTCTGGCCAAAACCTCAGTTTTTGGCCAGAAAAAAGCTGGTCTTTAGCTGATCGATCTGGCGGTATATTGATGAGCATTATGCCCGTCAAAAGCTGGACAAACGGCCGTCTGATACGACGGTCAGATTTGATGCTGTGAAACAAAAAACCCGTTTTTGTGATCTTGTCGATAGAAGGTGTTCTAGCCACAGTTTTTGTGATTAGACAACGGGAAAGCTCCCAGAATCGAATTCATGGTCTGGGAGGCCCTCAACCCTTGATCAGCACAACACCCCCATCCACAAGAGTCGAGGAGGTAAGCACTGGGTGGAGGCATGAGAAGGTGAAGAGAGATGAGCTCGATCTCTCTTCACATGATCAGCGGCCGCTTCCGATGATCGAAGCCCGTCTACAGGCCGCCGTTTTCCCAGATGCCGGCCGCCAGCAAAGCCCAGCCAAAAGACCGCCGTTCCACTGGCCAGATTTTGGCGGCCGGCCACCACCAAGGAAATCTGGGCTTTTGGCGGTCTTTTCTGACCGTCAAACGGCGAGCCCAATTGCCCCGTGGTGTACGATAAATCACTGTGAATCAACCAGATCCACAGTGGTTTGATTTTGCAATGATTTATCGTATCTTTCTCACAAATCCCATCCGAAAAACCATCCATCAGATGCCCACTACAAGTTCCTTGAAGAGACACATTGACTGTCTTTTGAAGTCTTCAAACAACAATGATGAGGAACATCAAGAATTTGAGCAACTTGTCTAGAAATCTTGTTTTATAGGCTTCACACACCACCTTCACCATTTCAGACTCAATTCCAAACAGATCGAGCTCGAGCTCAGCCTACTCAGCAATTGACTATTGTGCACCTCAATTCTTAAGGTGTCTCGCAAAAGATTAAGATATAGGGTGATGTTGTGATTGAAATCGATTCAATTCAAAGTGCAATGTTCCGAAATGTGATGTCTCGAAGTTGAGATTTGAGGATGAAGTTTGAAATTTGAAGTTCGAAAGTGAGGTTTTGATGTTTGAAGTTTGAGAAGTGAAGTTTCATATGCAGTTTGAAGTTTTGGGAACAGTAGTTTCGACTTGATTTCCTACGATAAATCAAGTCGTAGGCTTGCGTAGATTTGAACACACGGAGAGCAAGATTTGATGCAGTCGTACGGACCGCAAGTCTAAAACAGGTCCATAGTGGACCTGTGTATAATTTAGCGTTAAAGTTACGATAAATCACTTGGTTACCGCACCCATAGTGGATGCTCTAAGTGCCCCACTATTGCGCACCATATGTGTACTGTTTGTTAAGTTATGGCTACAGAGGACTTGAAATCCTCTTGAAATCCTTTTACAAGCTACAAAGTATTGACTACCTCCCTGGTGTGCTGCAAAAGGCACCCTTCTCACGGTGGATTGCTTGGTACCAAAAGTGTTTATGAGCAAGATTAGTTTCTGTTTGATTGTCAATTAACTCGTATCAAAATGGTTCAAGGGTAAAGGCAAGGAAGCTACCTAATGGTACCGGTTGAGTGGTCTCCTGTTCTTGTCATGCTCAAATCAAATCATCAGGATTGGTTCATGGTAGTGATTCCGGGGGCGTTCATGTGATTATGAATGCCTTGAGCTTTTTCCATGAAATTTCAGAATCGTCATTTATGATCTCTTCAATTTGGAAGATCTCATTTCTGTCTATGTTCATAATGATATTTGCTTTAGCAATTCAAGTAAAGCCAATCGATCATATTCATGTCCACTGTAATCTAGATGTATTGTAAGCTTGATCACTATTTACCTTGTGGTGAAACAAAATGTGCAACTCGTTTTCTCCTGCAGCGGACTCGGAGGTTCATGTATGCCATTGGACATGCTCCGAGTCCATTCAGACAAATGATGTAAAACATTCAACATAGGAAGATTGGGTGACTAAGAAAAGGGATAAAAAGCGCATACTCATCAATGATCCCATAGGGTTTTCAGCATCATCTCGATGAATAGTGTGTTAAGATATTACGTGATTTGATGATGAATAAATCTTTGCAGATTATGATGGTCTTAACAATCAAAAAACTATTTATTATAAAATGAAACTCATCAATTTCTTAACTGTTTGATGGGGGAAACTATGTACGAATCTATTTGGTGAAAAAATCCAAGTGCTTCTACTCTCGGCAACTTCAGGTGATTAGGGTATGCACCGTGACCATTTATTTGCTCAGCAAGCTCTTTATGTTTATTAAGGAGGTATTACAATCACAATGAGAAATACAATCAACAATCTTACAAATGCAATTATGGTAACTCTAAGCGAGTTCAAGCAAGTGGAAAGACACAGAACAACAAACAGGATTATTAAGAGACATACAGTCTAAGGATATGAAAAAAATGCTAAAACAATTGAACAAGTTTGACTTGATTCTTCTGATCTTCTTTCACAAAGCAGAACCAACGGCCGACTTCACCTTTTGAGCAATGGCCGCCAATTTGGCACAAGGGTCATCGCCGGATGTCGAGGGCTTAGTGTCTCCTGACTGAGGAGCTCGACGACTCAAACTGCAAAAAGCATGTAATCAGTCAATGTCCCAATTTGCAGCAATCAGAAAGGTTTTATTTGAAGGCTTTCATGAGACTTACGGGTAGCTGTATGTTGCTGGAATATTAAATCCACGACGACTTGAAGCAGATTTAGTGCCAGCGGAAGAAGCTTTTGATGTTTTCATCTTCTTCAAAATTGCGGCACATGTAGTTGCATCAGTTGGAAGTCTGGCGGGCAAAGCTGCTGTGGCCTCCTTCTTGTCTTGACGGCTGGTTGTGGTGACAAGGAAGCAAAACGTCAGAGACAACTTTTACATCACATAATGAGGCATTGAAAGTGTGCCTACGGAGACAATGTGACCCTTGACGAAGCCTGTACTTGACTGGTTGGTGGAGGTGGAGACACAGGCTTTGCTGGACTAGTAGTCGTCACGGTTGTTGTTAGTGGAGGGTTTGCTGAGCTGGTTGGCAACGTTGTTGGCGGGGGCTTTGTCTGGCTAGTTGGCGGTGTGAGAGACAAAGGCTGTACTTGAGTGGTCGGTGGTACTGGAGGCAAAGACTGTACTTGATTGGTTGGCGGTGGTGGAGGCAGAGACTGTAGTTGACTGCTCGGAGGTGGTGCAGACGCAGGCTTTGCCGGACTGGTTGTCGTTACGGTTGTTGTTTGCGGAGAGTTTGCTGATTTGGTTGGCGACGTTGTGGGTGGAGTCTTTGTTTGGTGGTTTGGTGGGACAGTGGTAGCTTGCACAGGTTTAGGTGGACCTTGTGGTGGTGGTCTGGCTACAATGGTGATGTTCCGACGGACAAGACTGAAAAGAGAAAAGAGGATTGCTTATTAGACCACGAGTGGTATACATATATGGATAAGTTTGCAAATGTCTCACCTGTGATCATTGTTAACAGCATCGCTGTACGCAATAGTAAAGAAATGAAGAGATTAATCTCAAGTGTCTGGAATAAAATAATGAGAAAATACAAGTGGGCTTACGCTTCCATTTCATTGTGTATCCTGAAAGCACATAGAACATGTTCAAAAGTTAGCAGATAGCCTTGCGGGATACGTGCAGAGTATTCATAGTGAGATCTTACCTGTGAACATTCTCAAGCGCGTCACGAAGACCCACAGGAGGAGTCAAGACTGGTGCCAAATTACTTTTTGGAATGGTCGCCGTCACATTGGTCTGGGTAACAACAGTCGGAATTGTGCGGCGTACCAGGCTGGAGTGGCAAATGGTGATATTGTGAGATGCGTTTGAGATGAGATGGCAAAAAGTTGAGACTGGACTTACGTGAAAGTGTTGTCCTTAGGCGCGTTAATCTGAGGCCCTTGACTAGTGACCAATCCGACACACAAGGTGACAAAGCTGACAGTGATTGCAAAACGCATGATGGCTAAAGACAAGTGGGTAATGAAAGGTTCAAAGATAGGTGATACCCTAAAAGAATTGAAGCGAATGAACGTTATTGGAAAGAAGGTTAACACCTGGATTCTTTGTAGATTATGAACACAAGTAAATGGATGAAGAGAAATGGTTCTATTTATTAGGGAGGCGTATGATACAATTTATGGTACAATTATGAAGGATGATGATTAAAGGTTGTATTAGGGACGAATTAACGGATGTGATGAGGAGAAAAAGACAGAGAGAGAAGCATGCAATATATAGCTTCTTGATCTTGCTGGGCTGCCGAGATGATCAGTCATTCAAGACGGACCCGGCTTTGAAAGATCTCTTCATGATGCACCCGCGTCCCTGGCAAATGCTTCATCGCTTGAGATGCTACGTGGCAGCGAGGCGAGATGGACATGTATTATTCTTTGAGAACCTAGCGTCTTGCGGGTACATTAGGGTACACCGAAGTTTTTAGACAGTAAAACTCAAGGTTTGAAAAACCTCTTCCTGATGCGGCGGTGAAGCAAATGCTCCATCTCTGCAGTAGCTCCGTGGCAGTATGGTGAAGGGGCCATGTATAATTTTTTGACAAGCCCTTAAGGGTAAGCGACAGTTTTTGCAAAAGTTGATGCTGATCGTGCGCTTGCATTCACACGAGAGTGCAATGTTAAACCGCAAGTTAAGGGTCTTGAAGATGGAAGCCGCCGAGGCCATCTCTCTCGAATTCATCCATCAAAAAATCGGGTGCAATAGCAAACTCAACAAAGTCCCTCGCGCCAAAGGCCTTGAGTGAGGCAATACCAACGCCGGAATTTGTCATACGAAGGATATTAGACCGCAATGCTGCTTTCTGCGGATCAGTATGTATCAATTGGAGTGCTTTGAAGCAGCTGCCTCAAAACAGTCTTCAATCTACTTGGCTTCCTCCCATGAAATACAACAGGAAATCTTTCTGATCATTCACCAAAAACCAAAAGAAGAAACGTTGTGCAAAATGGCAATTTACCAATCGCTGATCTCTGCAGCTAGGATGAAGACTTTCTGTACATAAATTCATGTTGGGGAAGTACATAATGACTGAACTACTTTTCATTCTGGGTCATCAGGAAGCTAATGTTCATCATGCGGACCGTCCAGCTCAGAGGCTCTCATGCTCGGAGGCTGTGGGTGTAAAAATAGGCCAAGAAAGCCCAAGAATGGAACAAAAACCTTGAATCTGGTTGGAGTCCTAGGGCGTGCCCATGTTCTTCTTATGCACTTCTCTTTCTTTGTTCATCCTACCTTTTCGAAATGTGAAAACATCTCTATGCCGTGTTAAGCATTTTGTTATTTACTTCTGGGTAAGGGTTGAAATGTCGAATAGCCTAGAATCTACATGAGGTATTTTAAAAATGGGTATTGAATTCGCCCAGTGCAATTCTTTTGCTCAAGACCTCTTTTCCGGTACCTGAGTGGAGGCATTCTCATCAAGTGTGTTCTACATCGATTCTGATTCACAGAAGCTTGTGTGAAGTCAATCAAACTGTGTATTGGTGTTACTATGGTTGCATTTCACGTAGTACTATATATGAATACAATAATCAGTCAAGTAAACAACGAAGACAAAATAAAAAAATCAATGTATTTAGTCAATTACAAAGATGACTAGAAAGATGAACTATGTAGATATAGGGTTGGGAATCAAAAGGTTCTCAGAAGACTTGGTCTGATGAAGTGGTAAGACAATATCATCCTTATTCAGGATCACATCATTATGTTGTGATTCGCAGTGATGACGTTTAAGAGATAGATGAGAGCTAGGGATCACCAAGTTATCCATATCGCGGTTCACATCAGTGATGATCACATCTTCAGGTATATTCACAGGGGTTGGAACACGTGATTCTTCAAATAGGATCATCGGAGAGTCTGGTTTGGATAACACATCTTCGAGAGGCGGGGTAGAATCTTCATGGATAGAGGGCGAACGAGAGACAGATTCATCGAATATACTTGATTGATAACTCTGTTCGTCACCTGGAATGATACAAAACGTAAGCACGGGGAGAAATCATGAAATGTGAGTAGAGAGTTGGAGATTGATCAAGAGGCATGAAAAACCTACTGACTAGCTACATCAGACAAAACACTAGGGACATCTTCGGTAAGTATTTCGTTCCCATCTTTGGCTAACTCGGCAGGCTCCGTTAATGCGTCTGACTTCTCCATGGGTTGAGAATCTAGATATCGAAAGATCAGTCAGTCAGTCAAGGCACGGGTAGCAGAGTATATAGTCTCGGTGGCCTACCTGCATCAGTCATCTCAACAGTTGGAATCTCAGCTTCACCTTGTTGCGCTTCCCTGATTTTTTGTTCACGTTGAGCGTTCCAAGCCTCAACCTTCAATCGATCCAAACGCTCAAGCTCGCTCTCCACCTCCTGAACGATTTCTTTTCTGAAAATCTTGATTTTCTGCTCACCACCTGATACAATGCCATCTAATTCAATTTGAAGTTTGAGTAAGACTTCTTCGTACATTTGTAATGGCTTGTTTACTGAATTATTGAATGCGAGCTTAGAAGGCGAGTCCAAAGCCGAATCAGGTGTGGGTGGTTCCGCAAATTGAAGATCAAGTAATGAAGGTTCGACAAATTCCTTGCGTAACACATGAAACTTGGATTGTAGGGCTTTGAGGTGTTTCAGTCGTAGATAAAGTCGAACTTTCTTTTGAATGACTCGAGCTGCTTCATCAAGCTCGTCACGAGAACGATGGGTAGGAAGAGAAAATGCAGGCGGTGAAGATTTGACCGGGATTGTCGAGGGTTTAAGAACATGAGGATACGGTTCTTGACTTCGATCAAGAGCATAAAAGTCGCTATCGTGAGATTCGCTTTCGTTGTCGGTCTCAGCCAAAACTAGGTCATTTTCAGGAGGCGGAGAAGGTGAACGCTCTCGGATCTTGGTGATCATGTTGTCCGATAAGATGGATGGATGCTTGGCTTGCATGCGTTTGGCCCATGATAAAGGGACAACACAGCGACGGCCATCGGGGAGGGTGACTTGGACTTGAGGGTCTGAGGGATCTGATTGAGCTTCTGGTTGGCGTTGAGCCCGGTGCTTTTCTTGAGCTTGTGCCAGACGGCGGGCTCGTTCAGCTCTAAGAGCGTCCTGTGATATGAAATAAAATTCGAACCCAATAAGCTTTAAGTAAACCACTCCACAGGAGGACATGTAATGAAACTTACATTATAATGTCCAGAATGGTGTTGAAGTCTAGAGAGCTCACGTTGAAACTCGGCTTCTTTTTCTAACTCACGTTCACGTTCCAATCGTTTACGACGCAGTTGAGAAGCTCGAGCCAAACGCTCGGTCTCAGGATTATAAGAGTCATAGTAATGAGGAGTTGATTGTTGATAGGGGTTGTAGTATGTCGAAGGAACTGCAAATGAATTATGTTCTGGACGAATTGAATAAGTTGGAGTGTCAAATTGATCACCGAAGAAAGTGGGAGTCTGACTATATCGTCTAGGACGAGGTGAAGCAAAGTAAGATGGGAACATTTTTGATGAAAAGTGTTGTATAAGTTGATGATAGTGAGGAAATGGTTAATGGTTAATAGGATACTTATGAAGAACTCAACTTGTTTACCAAACTGTGCTTTTATAGTAGTGATACCTCATTCTATTGTTCTATCGATCGATGAACCTTTCTTTCTTGATCGATCAATGGTTTTTGAATGAGCTTTCGAGAAAATTCTTGAATGTATGCGTCTCATCTCGAATCTCGAATCTTCTCGAACCCGAAACACCCTGGAGTACCACCGGGGCTTGGGACCCCCCTAGAGGGCCGGTCTTTGTACCCCGCGGCTCGAGCATCCCGACCCCGACACTGTGGCTCACGGGGTGTTTGACGGCTAACCCGTCCAACCAACGCGACCATCGAAATACCACTCAAGCTCGCTCAAGATAAATTCGCACTTCAAGAATACCAAGATGAATGAAGATAACTTTGAACAGATTAATGCTATCTTAGAAGAGTATCAGCCAAGCTCATTATATTCTCTCGAACTTCGCAATCAATTGATCTCAAATGCATTACCAGGAGATGTACCTTCCTCTGTGGTGGATATGAAATTGGACGAAAGCTTATTAAGAACTTTGGATTATGACTTGAGTAGCTATCAGGTCTGTCATGATTCATATCTTCAAGCCTTTATTTCATCAGACGCTGATGGCTAGTCTCCTTATCACCTAACGGGTTCCATCCATTCAAAGACCTACCTCTCGGCAGTCGAATTCAATTGGATAGAAGCAGTGGCCAAGGAACTTTTTATCACCCGAGCCCTTCTTACAGATAATCCACCCAACACTTCAGATGTTGAAGTGCATAAACTTTGTTAGATATTCTCACTTCAACTTTTCTCTATGACTTTATTCATCTAAAATCAGATTCTATCCATAGCGGCGATAAATGTTGAATTTGAAAAACAACTACAAGAACTGAACGCTTCAATTGCAACAGATGAAGCTACGATCTTAGAAATGTCTCAAGAACTTGAATTAGGATATGATGAGACGATCAAAACGTTTACTCAAAGTCGTAAACTGATGAATGAAATTGCAGATCTTGAATTAGAATTAAACGAACTTAAAATCAATCAAACTGAAGATGATGCTGAACCAATGACGATTGCTGAAGTTACACAGGTTGTCACAGAGTATGAGAATCAGTTACAGGAGATGAACGAACGATTAGTTGCTAATCAACAGGAAGTACCACAACTCAAGGCATTACATTTATCAGATAGTAAAGCTGTCGAACAGTTGAGGGTTGAACGACACGCCGTAGAAAAGGCTGAAGGTGACCGAAGGCGTACTCTTTCAAGTCAAATCAGAGGTGGTACCTTGGTCAAGATCGAAGCCGGACTAACCTGGTAAGTTTGATCTTTTTTAATCACCTGCATTCGAGTCTAGATGAGAACCTATTTGCTTTTTGCCAATTTGCTCAATAGGTTTAAGAGCGTAAGGCGTACATATCAAGCATCAATGGGCATCATCTCTATTGGGTTTGTGGGTCCGCCACGTTCAAAACCTGACAAGCTTCGTGTCACATTCTCACTTCGGCATTCTCTTGAGGCTACTCTTGTGATCGAGTTCAAAGACTTGCCTCAATCGGGTACTCGTCGGATCGCATCAGCTTATGTACGTGATGTTTGGTTCTGAGCCGCTCCCTTTATCCGCTTCTAATCATGATTTATCTGCTTATGATATAGTTGGATCAATCATCACAAGACATCGAACCGATAGTTGAGCCGTACATTGCAAACAATGATTTAGTCACACTTATCCGTGCGGTTGTACACTTTGTGGGGCAGCTATAATCTAGGTCAGGACTCAGCACAATACCTGTGTTACAGCAAACACAGGTAATGATCTATCCTATGGCACTAAGCTTTTCTTTATACCTTTTTCAACGTACTTGGACTCGGAAAGACTTTGTAGAACATAATTCAATATCCGAGTGTGAGTGTATGAATCGGATTTTCTGGGTGGCTCGATTTTTGTATGTTGTAATTTTTTAGTTTGGTATGCTCTTCTTCTAATATAAACCAGCATTTTCTGTAAGAAATTTTGGATCGTGATTTGCAATCGCTACGATTCAAAATGGCTGGGAGGGACAGTCAGAATTGATGAACAAGCCACTGTCAACTAAAAATACTCCACAATGAGTGTCATGATCAGAGTATCAAGGATGGAATCAAAGGAAGGGGATCTCATCTGAACCGTCAAAGTCATCCACACCCAAAAGTTTGCCTGTCTGCTATCCATTGCAGTGAATTATGCATTGCAAGTGATTTTTGTGCATTGCAGGTAGCAGAGTGCGCCTTCCCCACCTGTTTTTACCCTATCGGCACCGGCCCCTTCTAGATCCCCAACAACTTCCCACCGCATGCTCATTGCATTGCTTACCACATTCTTTTTACCTTAGCTTAACTAAGCCCCTCGCGCGGCCGCGTCCGCGCCCTCGAAAGAGGGGCTTATGACTAAAACGGGTTTTTTGGCTGTGTGACTCCATGTTTTAAGTACCCTTATGTTGTTTTTCTCGTCTCTGCTCTTCCCATTTTCTTAAATTTTTCAGACCTTCCAGTATGTTATTCCTCATCAAGTTGTACATAACACAGTACCATTTACTTTGGTTTAGATGAAGCAGAAGTGCTTTGAAATCGTGATGTAAGATTGGTAATTAAGCGGCTTTTGAATTTCATTCGAGGGAAATCCAGCTGGCTTAGGTGGTCTTAGGGCATTTACAACACGGCGTAAGGCCTGTTTTTCGCATCCTCAGCACAGCTCTCAAGCCATGCAGGGGTGTCTGTTGCTCATGAAAAGTATATCACAATATGTACAATTTGACAAAGAACAACATACTCAAAGGTCTGAAAAATTGTTGAAAATTGGAAGAGCAGAGACGAGAAAAACAACATAAGGGTACTTAAAACATGGAGTCACACAGCCAAAAAACCCGTTTTAGTCATAAGCCCCTCTTTCGAGGGCGCGGACGCGGCCGCGCGAGGGGCTTAGTTAAGCTAACTTTTTACCCATGTCAATAGAACAAAATATCACATTTTCTGATCATCATCAACCCATATTTAACTCAACAAAGTCCCACGCTACGCTTCGAGCGCAGCGAGCATATAATTTGATAAAAAATATGTGTATGTACTTTTTGAGACTTTCAAACAAGGCGAGGTGCGATCAATCTTGTGCTCCTGTTGCAAACCGATGACGCTATAGGTAGCGCAGACGATGATGCGAATCTATTTCTTCCTTGAAGCGGATCTCAGCGAGTTTGCCCCTACATACGTACCTGATCTGAGAGAGCTGCGACGTTTTGCAGACTTGTAGATTAACGTATCCGGATTTGATTTTTTTCTTGAACTCCGCATCAGAACTTCGCGGCTGTGTTGGCGGGCATCATCTTGGTTTTAGTATCAAGGACTTGATATGACAACAGAAAAATGCTCTTCTTGTTGAGTTCTTCTATTCTTAATTGGTAATTTATCCTTGCGAAGCAGAAGATAAGATTGAAAAAGAAATGCGGGTAGATTGGATGTGGTGTGGCGTAAGAACCAGGTCGAGGGACCCAATCCGTTTTACTGGTTCAAATGTGGCAGCCGCATCATCAAACTGTACCACTCACTCAGTCACACTGCAGTCAAATAGATAAACTTTTTATTAAATAGAACCATCACCCCCTAATTATAATACACTCTCAACTGATTCTGCTTCCTACTTCTAAAAGCTTTTGAGTATCCCCCCCTTCAGATCCTCTGTTCTTCTTCAAACTCTTCAAAGAAGATTACACAAAGGAACAATCAACATCGGATTCATCTTACATCAACGCCTCAATTGGAAATGCCAGATAGTGACTCTTTCTCATCTTCTACGGATAACAATAGTGTGGTTAAAGTAGTTTGTCGACTTAGGCCTACACTACCTCATGAACCTGAAAGTTCTCAAGAAGTGGTACAAGTTCTCAACCGCAGAGAAATTAGGATTACAGGTACGTTTTGATAGACCTTTTTCCAACCTCGAGGATCTCTAAACTAATTCTGTTGACTCATTGCTCTTTACCTTACTTTACTTTGAATCCAGACCCTATCAAGAAATTAATCAATCGTTTCGATTTCTCGGCATGTTACGGTGAAAGGAGTACTCAGCAAGAAATATTCGATAACGAAGTGCGAGATATGGTCTTGGGAGTCTTTTCTGGTATTGTGAGTCGAAACTGCAAATCGTACTGGATTGGCGAATCGCAACTGACACTGTTATGATTGTGATAGACTGCTAGTATCTTCACGTACGCTTTCCAAAGGAGAGATGATGATTTGTGTTTTGGTGATCTGACTCTGATTGACACATCCATGCGTTTATTTAGGTTTGGCTGTACAGGTTCTGGAAAAACTCACACACTCCAAGGTTCGCCTACAGATCCTGGAATCACCCCTCGAGCTATAAGGGCCATCTTTCAACACATGAACGAAATGAAGATTCAGCAGGGAGCCTCAGCCCAATACATTGTCACCATGTCTTGTTTCGAGATTTGGAAGGATAAAGTATGGGATCTTTTGAATGAGGCAGGTACTTCGAGTACTCGAGATTTAGGGAAAGGTGATCTACACATCAGAGAGGCTACCAATGGACAAGTCTTTGTTTCAAATCTACGCAAGATTCCACTTTACACTATCAATGACTTTGAAAGATTTTACGAGAAAGCTATGCGCTCTAGGTCAACTTCAAGCACGAAATTGAACCACGCTTCATCTAGGTTTGTCGCTCATCAGAAAAAAATACGTGACTTGAAGCTCTATCATACTGATTCCATGATTGGACGATGACACAGATCACATGCAATTCTGAATCTAAATCTTACGCAGCTACGTGGCGGTCGAACTTACGAGGGAAAATGCGTTCTCATCGATCTTGCTGGAAGTGAAAACAATAAAAAGACTGGGAATGATGAAAACCGTGAGCGTATGAAGGAATCAGTGGAGATCAATCAAAGTCTGCTTGCTTTACGGAAAGTGGTTAGATCTTTAAATGCAGGTGAAGTGCGTAATTTATTGACTGCCTGTGAATGACCAGGTCGCATTGATATCTCTTGCTGGTTTTTTTTACCAGAGTCGGATTCCATACCGTGATTCAAAGTTGACGAGGATCCTGAGTGACAGCCTTGGTGGGCGCTCATCTGCTCTTGTCATATGCAATATTGCACCCAGCCCATATCAATATCGTGACACAATGAAGTTTGTCTTTTCTCATGCATCCAATTCTGCTCCTTTTTGAATTCATATTGATGCTTCCTGTTCGCTGCTGGACAATTTTAGTACGCTAAACTTTGGAAGTCTTACGCGAAACGTGGAAAACAAAGTGCAGGTCAGGGACAAGGAGACCGGTAAGTTTCAACATTTGGAAGCCTGTCAATTTGATTATCTGGAATCTCACCTTTTATATTTTATTTGCAGTCAAGAACACTCTTGCGCCTGCTCCGTTCTACCAGCACAGCTTTCTCAACAAATCTGCTCCTCAACTTCCATCTGAGACGACTATCAAATATTCTTCTAGTGATGGCTGTGCGGTTCCCTATTCTTATAAACCTAGGCTAGCACCGCGGCCGTCCTTAGCGGTGCTCAATGGAACCCAAACAAGCACATCTACACCTCCTGCGCACCATATGGGTCATAGTAATAGTGGTCACCTATTCACACCTCCTGGCCACAATTTGGTAGCTAGTAGTAGTGTTCCATCATTACCGGAGCTTCCCTCTCAGTGGCGCACTTCTCCACTACTGCCACGACTAGAAACAAGACCTCTGATCATCAAGAAAAAGTCTTCGAGTCTCAGCCCGCGGTCCCCTCATTTCGAGGATCTACAGATGGCCCTCGGGATCACGGATCCTATTAGCTCTAGCGATAGTCCCATGTCAAATAAAGCCCTCGAAGAGCGAATCAACAACGCACTGCGAAAAAATATGAACGCTTTGGTAGAAAAACGACTAGATGCGCTTTTGAATGCCAAGTTAAAAGAAGCTGGATTGCTAGATTTCCAAGCTCCTACAACGCCACGATCTCAATCATCCAATACAAGTGAAAACACGGCTGCTGAACGTGATCACGACTTGGTTGATCGGATTTCCAACTTAGAAGATCAATTGTAAGTGATTTGATATCTGTTCAAAGTTTAGTTTGATCAACCTTTTCTTCGACGCTTTACTTACATTAATTTCTACAGTCAGCGTGAGGATCAGCGAATTATTGAACACTGTTCCTACCCCACGAAGGCATTCGAACACCAAAATTCCTTCCCCGAATATACGTTCACGGTGAGATTTACTCTCTAGTTTATACTTACTTTGATTAAAAATCTTTTAGGTCCGGAAACCCTTCGTTCAGAGTGGAACCGCTGACACTCCGCTCTTGCCCCCCTTTCCTTGCAAAGGT